GAATCCGCGCCATCACCAGACGGTTCACACAGTCAGTAAGACATTGTAGTGTTGACTACAAAAATGCTAACAGAAGACTACAAACTCTGGATAAAGACTACAAAATCCCTGACCATGGGAAACCATCAATTTTCATGGGAGAAAGGCTAAATTCTGTGTTAGTGCTACTGAAAAAATCCTCAAGTTCTGGGGTAATAAACGAGTCTCTTCATAAACTTAGAGGACTCGTAACTTCCTACAGTATGCATAATCATGTTGGGCTAGCTGAGTATCTTGTAACTGCTCATTGCTCACTTATGGGTGTTGATCCCAGATCCACCCATTCTTGCGTCCTCCTTCCCTCTTGGCTTCAGCTATGCAAGAAGTTCAGAGTGAATGCTTCACAATAACAGACTGCAAATGTCAGATATTGACTACAAAGTTGGATTATCTCTACAACAGGAGCACTTTACAGTGTAGAGCTACAACTTCCATTTTTTGACTATTTTTGGTAACTGGTCATGTGACCATCATCCCATTACATGGGCCCTAATAGATAAAATTATTCTTCACTTGGTTTTCTCCAGTTTTTGGTCAAAGTGGATGATATTTTCTTTTTGGTATGGACTCTGAAGGTAGTGCCTGACATTCTATATACCATTCAAACTTTTTTTCAGTTTTTCCACTATTTTCCAGCAATTTTTGGATCTATTACCATATTTGGAATTGTACCCTTGACCCTGACAATGTTACCAAACATTATCACAGCAATGGCCATCCATCATTTTCTTCTGATTTTTTGCCTATTTTCTGGCTATTTTTTGTTATGTTACCATATTTGGAACTAGACTCTGGACCCTGACAATGTTACCCAATGTTATCACTAGCAATAAGCACCATTCCCCATTTTTTTTCCTATTTTTGACCATATTACTTTATTTGGAACTAGAATCTGGACCCTGACAATGTTACTCAATGTTATCGCTAGCAATAAGCATCATCCTCCATTTTTTTCTGATTTTCTAGCTATTTTCTAGCTACTTTTGGATATATTACCATATTCAGAACTGGACCCTTGACCCTGACAACATTAACCAATGTTATCACTGCGATGGGCACCATCCCCCATTTTTTCTGATTTTCTAGCCATTTTCTGGCTCTTTTTAGGTCTATATTACTCAATTTGGAACAAGACTCTGGACCCTGACAAGATTACCCAAGGGTATCACCACTATCCTCCATGTTTTTCTGTTTTTCTGGCTATTTTCTGGCTATTTTTGGCTATATTACCATATTTGGAAATGTGCCCTGGACTGTGAAAACAACCTCCAACATCATTACCAACAGTAAGCACCACCCCCCAAATTTTCCTGATTTTTGTGCTATTTTATAGCCATTTTACCTTTGAAAAAGTGCACATCTCCTTATTTAGAAATGTACCCTGGACCCTGAAAATGACCTCCAACATCATCACCAACAGTAAGCACCACCCACAATTTTTTCTGATTTTTCTGCTATTTTCTGGCTATTTTTGGCTATATTACCATATTTGGAAATGTGCCCTGGACCCTGAAAACAACCTCCAACATCATTACCAACAGTAAGCACAACCCCCCAATTTTTTCTGATTTTCTGATTTTTCTGCTATTTTATTGCTATTTTACATCTGAAAAAGCGCACATTTCCTTATTTAGAAATGTGCCCTGGACCCTGAAAGCCACCTCCGATGTCGCCACCAACAGTGAGCAACACCCTAAGCTCATCGTTGCAAGCAGCAAGCCCTTTACAGCTAATATAATGTGTATAGGCTGGATTTGTAAGCATCGGAAATCTCCAAAAATGACATACTTCCCTTGCGGGCTACCTTTGATTTGCAAGGGAAGTACGTCATTTTCGGCTATCTCTATACATGAAAACACAAAGGATTGATGGCTGACAAATTCAGCTTTATGTTACTAAGCAGTTCACACCCTCTTCTGAGCCGCGTAAGCGGCGTTGGAAACTAGGATTCAACATGCATACCAGGGGGTCCAGGGGGCTTGCCCCCAGCAAGCTGTGACCAGTGTCGAAGCAACGGTCGAGTGCAGTGAGCGCCGTGGCGTAGACACGGGTCTAAAGCTTGTCTATACATGAAAACACAAAGGATTGATGGCTGACAAATTCAGCTTTATCTTACTAAGCACTTCACACCCTCACAAGACTTCTCAACACAGCTTCAGGCTGCTCCTGCCTCACTGTTCCACAAACCACCACGAACTCTGATACATTATTTTGTAAGTTTCTGGATAACATTTTGATCATTATGGAAAGCCTTCAACTATTTTTAGACACCTTCAATTGACATTTTGTCCACTTGGATTGCTTCTGATCACTTTTGATGATAGGATTTCACAAGGTTTTGCTGATTGGTTAGTTGCTTCAATATGTGGATCTTTTTCTCTTTTTTTTGGTAATCAGAATATATGCTTCAGTTGTCCTTTTGGTCTTGATGTAGGATATTTCTTTTGCTCCCTGCCTTTATTACTTAACTATCATTTATTCCCTAGGGATTCTCCTCCTAATACTCCACAAAGGCATAGAAATATTGAGAGGGCAAGAGAGCGTCAAGAAAGGATGTTGGAAAGTCCTGAGCATAGGAGAACACCTCAAAATCCTGCTGTTGGTGGTGGTGTACCTTTTATTCTTCCTTTCCCTATTCCACCCCCTGTTGCTCCTCTTCAAATTGCTCAAGGTCCTGTAGGTGATGATCCATTTGTTGAGGTTCTATATAATGGTCAAATTCTTCACCTTACTCCTGGGATGGCTGCACAAGTGGGTAATTTGCAAAATCAGGTAGGTTGCAGAGTTATATCTCTTTTTCTAATATTTAATATATCTTTTAGGCTCATGCTGCCCCCCTTGCTGCCCCTCCACCTCTATTTCCACCTGCTGCTATGGTAGATGTGGTAAGAAAAACCATTAGGCTATTTTCCATCTGTCTAACAAGCTTTTTTCCAGAATATGGGGCATCCTAACCAAAATGGTATTCAGTATCCACACTTACCTGCTCATTTACAGGCATTGGCTGCAGCTCTTCCACCTCTTCCTCAGCCTGTAGGAGCAAGAGGGAGGA